TTTTCCCTGACTAAAGTTCTTCTGGCCATTTCAGCAAGCCAGAGCTTAAGTCATTTTTTTTTTGCTCTCCTGTCCCCTCCTGTGTCATGTTGCAATGGATGCCATGGAGCAGGCCCACTCTGACTTGGATGACTGGGTTCTTTCTACCAAGAGACAAGGGAGGGGCTGGTTGGTTTTTTTTAGCTACTCTCCCCGTCCCTAGCCAGATGGCTGGCGCCTTCCCATTCTTAAGTTGAGCACACCAAGGGACAGGGCACAGGAGTGGCCATAGGTCCCGAGCATTTGTGGAATTTTTTTTTGGGACAGCCTGCCCTCTGGGTCATACTCCTCCCCGCTCTCAAACATGGCTCTTTTTTTTCTAATATATTCTGTTCTCCTCAGCAGGGCATCAGATAAGAGTGTGAGATAGTTTTTTTTGTCAGAAACCTGGGGCTGGGTGCAGTAGCTCACGCCTGTAATCCCAGCACTTTGGGAGGCTGAGGCGGGAGGATTGCTTGGGGCCAAGAGTTTGAGACCAGCCTGGGCAACATAGCGAGACCTTGTGATATGGTTTGGCTGTGTCCCCATCCAAATCTCATCCTAAATTGTAGCTCCCATAATTCCTTCATGTTGTGGGAGGGATCCAGTGGGAGATGATTGAATAATGGGGGCAGTTTCCCCCATACCGTTCTCGTGGTACTGAGTAAGTCTCATGAGATCTGATGGGTTAATTAGGGGAAACCCCTTTCACTTGGCTGTCATTCTTCTCTTGTCTGCCACCATGTTTTTTTTGCCTTTCACCCTCCATCATGACTGTGAGGCCTCCCCAGCCATGTGGAACTGTGAGTCCATTAAAACCCTTTCTTTTGTAAACGGTCCAGTCTCTGGTATGTCTTTATCAGTTTTTTTTAAATGGACTAATACACCCTGTCTCTACAAAAATTTTTAAAAATAACAAAAATTTTTTTTAGGCATGGTGGTGCATGCCTGTAGTCCCAGCTACTTAGAAGGCCGAGGGAGGACTGCTTGAGCCCAGGAGGTGGAGGATGCAGTGAGCTACGATTGTGCCAGGCACTCCATTTTTTTTAACAGAACAAGACATCTCAATAAACAAAACAAAACAAAATAGAGTCTGAAACCTAAGACCCAAACCCAACTGTGTCGCCTTGGGTGTTACCTAATCTCCCTGAACCCCACTTTTTTTTTTTATAAAGTGAGACTGAATGTCATCATCTGTGCCTAGGGTGGCTGGGTGAGGAGGGAATGCCATGCTGCGGGTGCAAGTGCTTTGTTCAGCTCCTAAGCAGATCCTCTGTGTGGGGCTGGGGTTAGGTCGTTGCTTCTTGCCCAGCTGTCCCCCGATGCCCTGTGCCGGCTCAACATCCGTATCAGAGGTTAGTGCGAGGGGACAGCAAACCTCTGTCTCTTTGCAGTTTTTTTTAATCGCTTAAAGTTATTTAGGGGTGCATGTGTGTGTGTGTGATGGTCCTTATTTTTTTTGAGTTCAGCCTTCTTCTGGGGAAGGTCCCTGTACCACACCTCCATTGGGAGTTTTTTTTAGGGGGGTGAAAGAAGGCTCAAGATGCATTCCTGAAGAATGAAAGAGGCCATTTTTTTTGGCTCAGGCCTGTAATCCCAGCACTTTGGGAGGCCGAGGCAGGCGGATCACTTTTTTTTGGGAGTTTGAGACCAGCCTGGCCAATATAGTGAAACTCCGTCTCCACTAAATTTTTTTTATTAGCCGGGTATGGTGGCAGGTGCCTGTAATCCCAGCTACTAGAGAGGCTGAGGCAGGAGAATTGCTTGAACCTGGGAAGTGGAGGTTGCAATGAGCTGGGATCCCACCTTTTTTTTCCAGCCTGGGCGACAGAGTGAGACTCAGTCTCAAAAAAAAAAAAAAGAAGATTTTTTTTGCCTCTTGGGTAGGAGACAGATGGAGGGTGGGCAGGGTAAGTCAGGGCAGTGGTTGGAGGAAGGAGATGAAGTGTGGGTTCCTGCTGCTTCCTCCTCCTGTGCCCCTCCATTTTTTTTAGGGCTCACTCAGAGCTGGGAGTGAGAATTCCAGGAGCCAGATGCTGCTGAAGAAGGAGGCCTCTGACTGAGACCTTGGCGAGGAGGCTCAGAGAGGGGAGAACCACCCCTTTTTTTTCTCCCACAGATGGCCTCAGGGGATGTGAGCAGGAGAGGGTCCCTGCCTTACTTTTTTTTACTGCCTGTCACTGTGGAAGCCTCCAGCCCTGCAGGCCCCTAATCAAAGTGACAGCTCCCACGGAAAAGTGCCCCTCCTGGCTGCCACAGGCCTGAGACCTCGTGTCTCAATCTGGCGTGGCGCCCCGGACACTGAGTGCCTAGGACCAAGGCAGCACATTCAACGCTGTTTTTTTTTAGCGTCGGCCTCCCTGGAATGGCTGTGGCTCTCTGCATTTTCCCCAGGGAGCCTCCACCCGGGAGCTCCACCCTAAGGACTCTGCTCTGTGGAGAGGGGCACACAGGCCTAGTCCCCACCTGGGCAGAGCTGGAAGAGGCATCCAGGGCAGCTGAGGGTCCCAACATGTTTTTTTTCACCCTGCCCCCTACCTCAGGGGCGGTTGCTGGCATCTTTTTTTTATTCTTTTTTGTGATGGAGTCTCTATCACCCAGGCTAGAGTGCAGTGGCATGATCTCAGCTCACTGCAATGTCTGCCTTCCAGGTTCAAGTGATTCTCTTGCTTCAGCCTCCCGAGTAGCTGCGACTACAGGTACCCCACAACCACGCCTGGCTAATTTTTGTATTTTTAGTAGAGATGGGGTTTCACCACGTTGGCCAGGGGCTTGCAGGCCTCAGTGCCTTTGCTCCAGCTGCTTCCCTGTTTTTTTTCCTCTCTTTGTCTCCAGTAGCCACCATCAATGTCACTTCCTGTATCAATTTTTTTTTTTCTCCTCTGACTTCTTTTTTTCTTTTTTTTTTTTTTTGAGACAGGGTCTCCCTTTTTTTTCCAGGCTGGAGTGCAATGGTGCGATCTCAGCTCACTGCAACCTCTACCTCCTTTTTTTTAGCAATTCTCGTGCCTCAGCCTCCTGAGTAGCGGGGACTACAGGTACCCATCATCACAGCAGGCTAATATTTTGTTTTTTTTAGTAGATGAGGTTTTGCCATGTTGCCCAGGTTGGTCTTGAACTCCTGAACTCAGGCAATCTGCCCACCTTGGGTTCCCAAAGTGTTGTTTTTTTTGGCATGAGCCACTGCACCTGGGCCCTCCTCTGACTTATTGAGGCACCCTGAATCCACCTCTAGGAAGCCTGTTATTATTCTGGAACAAACTCATCTGCATGTGTAGTTATTTAGATAGCTTTTCCCTGACAGGAAGATATGATGTCTTTTAAAAATGTGAATCTCCCAAAAGCAGATTACACCTAGTAGGCGGTCAATAAATATTTGGTGAATTAATGAGTTACTTTTTTTTTTTTTTTTTTTTTTTGAGACAGGGTCTTGCTCTGTTGCCCAGGCTGGAGTGCAGTGCCACAATCTCGGCTCACTGCAACCTCCACCTCTTGGGTTCAAATGATTCGTCTGCCTCAGCCTCCCAAGTAGCTGGGACTACAGGTGTGTGCCACCATACCCGGCTAATTTTTGTATTTTTAGTAGAAATGGGGTTTTGCCATGTTGGCCAGGCTGGTCTCAAACTCCTGGCCTTAAGTAATCCACTTGCCTCAGCCCCTCAAAGTGCTAGGATTAGAGGGATGAGCCACCATGACCAGCCAATGAGTGACTTTCGAATCCAGACAGACACATACGCTCCAGAAACACCCATCAGTCAGATACTCTCTTGCTCAGAGTCATGCCTTTGGTGTCCAGCCTGAAATGCTTGGGTGGGGAGAAGCTGGTCCCAGTCACCAGAGCATCCTGGCTTTGCTTATGCCATGACCTCTGCTTTTTTTTCCCCTACTCCCGTCATCTATGTTCGGAGGCTCAGCCTCCTCTTCCTTCACGAGACTTTCCTGGTGTCCCCAGGGACTGCAGTTTTGCCTTTGTGCCCTGAGGGTATGTCCCATGTGGCAACCACAACCCTCATCTCTTTTCACCTCTGTCTCCACCCAAAAGACCCACTTTTTTTTTGGGAGGGTGATAAGCAGACAGATTGGATCTTACTTGTCTCCGGCCTACAGGTTTTTTTTTGTGTGGAGCGAGAGACACAGTGGGTGCCCCATGAATATCACCAAAAGAGATTTTTTTTCTCAAGAGGGTGTCTGAGGTCAGAGTGTAGCCTCCGGCAAACCTGCCAACCTTTTTTTTAAGGTAGGTTTCTGTTGGCCTCCCCCAGGAGCCAGGGGTAAGTTCCCACCTTTCCCACCTCCCTACACTGGGCCTGGATGTGAATCTGTTTGCTCTGCCAACAGCAGCCTTTTTTTTTCTTACTTTCCCTATGGCCCCTGTGCACCTGTCAGCTAGAATCACCCTCATGGAAGCATTCACCCATTTCCCCCAGAAATCTGCCTTGCAGCCAGCTGCCCCTTCCAAGCTCATAGCCAAACCTCTGCAAAGTCACCCCAGCTAGGGAGAAGCAGAAATCCTGGCAGGGATTTTTTTTGAAGAGGGGCCTCCCCCTTGTCCCTGGGTTGGAGTGCTGTGTACCTTGCTGTTTTTTTTCTTCAGAGACCACAGACCTGAGCTGGAGCCTGGGACCCCCACCCCGCAGATGAGGCCCTTGTCTGAAAGCCTGTGGCTACCAGGAGGCTCCAGGCTGGAGAAGGGCTGCTTTTTTTTTCTGATCCCAAAAGATCCCACAGGGAGAATCCCCAGAAACAAAGACCCAAGATTTTTTTTAAGGACCCACAGACTCTGAGAGGTCCCACGGAAGGGCTGTCCAGATGCAGATTTTTTTTTACTGGTATCAGGGGGGCTTCAGACCCTAAGACCTCATTGAGGGCACCCCAGACGCAAAGACCCCCATGGAGGGAGGCCACAGACCCAGAGCCCCTCAGAGGGGCCCAGATTTTTTTTCCAAACCAAATTTGTGGGAGCAGCGCTCCTCCACACTGACCTGGCCCTGAGGGGCTCTTCCCCAAGCTGAGCTGCCGAAGCCGCCTCTGGTGGGCCCGCCCCCCACAGTGCACCTGGGCCTGGGCCGCCGAGTTCAGCTGGATGTTGCAGACATCACAGAGCGTGTACGTTTTTTTTTTTCTTTCTCGCTTGGGCTTAGGTGGTTCTGGGGGCCGAGGGGGGCACTCATTTTTTTTAGATACGGGGGGCTCCTTCTCAGCCGGTGGGGGTGGGCTCAGTGGCCGCTTTTTTTTTTAGTGGATAGAGAGGGAGACGAATGAACACCAAATGGTTGTGAATACTTAGATTTTTTTTGAGGGGCTCAAGACCGGGAGACGCAGAGCTCTGTATCCTCTGTATCCCTCTTTTTTTTTCCAGCCCAAGGATGGTGGAAGGTTGCATAATGGAGTCTATTTCAAGCAAAGTTTTTTTTAAACTTGGGACTCTTGGAGGTGGCTCATGCCTGTAATCCCAGCACTTTGGGTTTTTTTTGTGGGTGGATCACCTGAGGTCAGGAGTTCGAGACCAGCCTGACCAACATGGTTTTTTTTGTCTCTACTAAAAGTACATAATTAGCTGGGCGTGTTGGTACATGCCTGTAGTCCCAGCTACTCAGGAGGCTTATGCAGGAGAATCATTTGAACCCCGGAGGTGGAGGTTGTTTTTTTTCAAGATCGGGCGTCATTGCACTCCAGCCTGCACAACAAGAGCGAAACTCCATTTTTTTTCCAAACAACAACAACAACAACAACAAAAACTTGGGACTTTCTGGAAGGGTGTTTTTTTTGTCTACACACGGGGAGGCCAAGACACCTGGGGATTCAGAACATAGCTGCAGTTTTTTTTTCAGAGAGGGGGACTGGGGTCTTGAAGGAAAGGTGGGCACTGAGGGAGAGGCAGCGGCAAGGCCAGCTGAGTCACATTTGAGGAAACGAGAGTCCTGTTCTCAGCTCCACTTTTTTTTCTGGCAATCCTGTGACAGCCAGGCATGTGGTGCTTACTGGAGACGCAGCAATTTTTTTTCAAAAACACAACCTTCCTTTGCCCTGCACCCAGCAGGGTGACATTCACAAATTTTTTTTGTGTGTGAAGCCATCCCAACCCCTGCTCCATGTGGCTCCAGATGCCCCCTGCTGTCTTGGCTACTGAGGCCAAGGCAACAGTTGGTGGTTTCGGTAGAGACCTGAGCTCTTTTTTTTTGGTCTGCTAAACACAGCACCCCCCCGGCCCCCGCCCGCCTCCACCCCACCCTTTTTTTTGCGCGCAGACACACACACACACACACACACACGCACACACTTTTGCTCTCTCTCTCCTGGACCCTCAAGTCCAGGGTCCCCATCTCCCATAGACAGTCTTTCCTTTCCAAGTCACTTCTCTGAAACTTTGCCCTGCCTGACTTGTCTGCCTCTAACGATTTCTATTCTGGGGCTGCTCAGTGAATTTTGCCTTCTCTCGGAAATCTGCGCACATGCTTCCTGCCTCTGCTTCCGATGGGGGCTTCCTTTTTTTTTTTTTTTTTTAATTTTTTATTTTTTTGAGACGGAGTCTCGCTCCTGTCGCCCAGGCTGGAGTGCAGTGGCCGGATCTCAGCTCACTGCAAGCTCCGCCTCCCGGGGCCATTCTCCTGCCCTCAGCCTCCCGAGTAGCTGGACCTACAGGTGCCCACCACCCTCGCCGGCTATTTTTTTGTATTTTTTAGTAGAGACGGGTTTCCACCGTGTTAGCCAGGATGGTCTCGATCTCCTGACCTCGTGATCCGCCTGTTCCGCCTCCCAAAGTGCTGGGATTACAGGCTTGAGCACCGTGCCCGCCAGGGCTTCCTTTTTTTTTCTTTTTTTTTTTTTCTTTGAGACAGAATCTCACACTGTCACCCAGCTGGAGTACTGTGGCGAGATCTCCGCTCACTACAACTCCGCCTCCGGGTGTAAGTGATTCTCTACCTCAACCTCCTGAGTAGCGGGACTACAGGCACGCACCACCACACCCGGCTAATTTTTTGAATTTTTAGTGGAGACGGTTTCACAAGGTGTTGCCAGGATGGTCCTCAATCTCTTGACTTCGTGGTGCACCCACCTCGGCCTCCCAAAGTGCTGGGATACAGGTGTGAGGCCACCGGTGCCTGGCCAATCTAGCTGTTATTAATACATAGTGTTCCTGTCTCTTACAGCTGTGAGTGAAGTCTGTCACCCTGTGTGTCCTGTCATGATGTACCTGGTCACACGCAAATGTCTTCTGTTACCCATTGTTTGTTGGGTGAATCTGTGTCACCCTGTGTGGCATGTCCAGTGTAGCTGTGCCATGGTGGTGGGTGTCGTTGTGCCCAGACCATGAAATGAGACTGTCACGAACATCTGAGACTATGTGATACGGGTTGAAGATGTGTCCCCAAAAATTCAATATGTTGACATCCTAATCTCCAGCACTTCAGAATACGACCGTATTTGGAAATAGGGTCGTTGCAGACGCTATTAAGATAATGGCCATACTGGTATAGGGTGGGCCCCTAAAACAATATACCATGACCTGGTGTCCTATAAAAGGTGAAATTGATTGAGGTGCAGTGGCTCATGCCTGTAATCCAGCACTTTGGGAGGCCGAGGCGGGTGGATCACAAGGTCAGGAGTCAAGACCAGCCTGGCCAACATGGTTGAAACCCTGTCTCCACTAAAAATACAAAAAAAATTAGCCAGGCACAGTGGGTGGGCGCCTGTAATCCAGGTACTCGGGAGGCCTGAGCGGCAAGAAGAAATTTTTTTTTTTTTTTTTTTTTTGCTTGAACCTGGGAGGTGGAGGTTGCAGTGAGCCGAGATCGTGCCACTGCACTCCAGCCTGGGTGACAGAGCGAGACTCTGCCTCAGAAAAAAAAAAAGGCAGGGTCTTGCTCTGTCGCCCAGGCTGCAGTGGAGCGGTGTGATCATAGCTCACTGTTACCTCAAACACTTGGGCTCAATAGATCCTCCAGCCTCGGGCTCCTAAAGTGCTGGGATCACAGGTATGATCCACCACACCCAGCCTTGCTGACACATATTGATCTTGGACTTTGAGGATCCAGAACTGAGACAATAAACTTCTATTGTTTAAGTGCCACCCAGCCTGTGGCACTTTGTTATGGGAGCCCTAGCAAATTAACGTGCCATAGATCTGACCCTGGTGTGGTCATAAATGCTTGGTGATTTGAGGTTCCAAACCCTGCTGCTACGTGTTGTGGCTGGGCGGCAGTCCCAGAGATAGCCTCCAGGTGGCGCAGCAAACATCCAGTGGGAAGGTAGGTGAAGACTCAGTACCCCCTGGGCAGGACAGACCCCAGCCCCTACACTCAAGAATCAATGCAGCTGTCTCCTGGAGCCACACCATGGGTCCAGGGTACAGCTCTTCCCACAGAGGGCGCACTGGAGGTCACTGCCATTGTGAGAGGGGCCCCACTGCTGCATGGAGCCCCCCACTAATATTTTGCACCTTCTCACCTCTAGATGGAGGTCATCACAGTGACTCCCCTGCCTCTCCATGTCCTCCCCAACCCTCCCAGCAGGAGGAGGCAGGAAGGGGGTCTTAGGTGCAAGTGTTGGTCAGGGGAGAGGTCCCATTCCCTGGGTGGAGGCTTGAGAGGAATGAGATTTTCCTGGCCATGCCAAGGAGAGCTCCCTGCCCCGCCAGCATGGGGACAAGGGTATTTTGAAATCTCCGTGCAATTTATGACAGGCGGGCCGGGGACATGGCCCAAGAGAGCAAATATCTGCCACGCAGCTGATTAAACCTCTGTGATATATAGCCTCTGGGCTCACGGGGCCGCCTGGATTCCAGGCTAATTGTGATCCCCCTAGCCAGGCTCCTGGGCCTGCCGCAGCCTGCCCTGCCTGACCCAGCCTTCCCAGCTGTCCCCTTAAGAGCCACCCTTTCCCAGCTAAGCTAGGGGAGCCCGGTCATAAAGTGTGGAGAGGTGGGCAGTGACAGGAGCACACAGGTCTGCCTAACCCTGCCCTGAGCATCGACAGCTCAGCATCCCCAACCCTGGCCCCTACTCAGAGCCAGCATGACCCACCCTAGCAGGACCTACACTTGGACAGGGCCTAGTCCACATGCTGCCTTAAGCAGATGGGGAAACTGAGTCCCAGAGCAGGGCAGTGGACTTGCTTCAAAGCAAATGGAAAGATGATGCAAGAGCTGATTATAGAGGCTTCCCTGTCTTTTTCTTCACCTCCCAGCTGCTTACGTCACCTCTTCTTTATGAAGTAACAACCCCATTTATTGAGGGCTTACTGTGGGCCAGGTGCTTGACAAAAAGGGCCTTTTTTCTTTTTGCGAGGGGATGGGGTTTGACTGTGTTGCCCAGGCTGGCCTCAAACTCATAGGGCTCAAGTGAACCTCCTGCCCCAGCCTCCCAAGTAGCTGGGATTACTGGTATGTGCCACCATGCCCAGGCAGGATCTCTCTTAAACTTCACAATTCCATGAGATGAGCACCATAATTAACCTGTTATCCCAGCGCATAGATTAGAGAACAGGCTTTGGGAGGTTCTGTGGCTGGACCTAGACCTATACTTGTCTGACTCAAAGCCCAAGTCCCTACCCACTGCCCCATCCCACCTCTCCTTAAAGCCTGCCAAGCCCTGACCTGAACTGATGGTTAGGGAGGGGGCCACAGATTGAGAGAAGGGCTTTGGGGAGGGGCAGGGCTGTGCAGCCCCTATCAGGCCCAGTGCCTGGCAGAGAGGGGCTACACCCTGGGTAGAAAGAGTCAAAGAGGGGGGGAGGAAGGACAAGGGGAAAGCAGAGAAAAAGAGCGTGTATGTACCCATCTGTCTGTCTGTCTCTCTGGGATTTCTATAGGAAGCTGGCTAAATCTCCCTCTGTTCCCTGTCTTCCCTGAGAGATGGGCTGAGGCTGCTGCAGAGAGGGCAGGGGTTGGGCCCTGGGAGGGAGCCACCCATTTGGAGGCAGGCTCACACCACCTGCACTGGAGAGCTGTGTAGCCCAGGTTCTGTCTGTCTGTCTGCCTGTCTGCCTGTGTGTCTGTCAATGTGGAGCTGAGGGGTGGGGTGGGGGGAGCACTCAGGCAGGGCTCTGGG